AAGAACTTAAGATATGTATTGTTTTTCCTTTTTTCAATCATGTCAATCGAAGCCTGCAAATCCTGCAAATATCTTGAAAAATATCGCTGCAGAGAAATATCCTGACAAAAGAATATAAAAAAAATTGTTTTGTCATTCTGTATTTACTCAAGCGGCGGTAGAGCGGCAGGAACACTGTTGAAGCAAATGGGCGGGAAACTATCCTCCTTTAATATAGTAAATAGATATATAGGGACAACGCTGGACGAGGTCAGATTTATCTTGATAAAAGCAAGAATAACAAACAGTCTAACACCACATCTAAAAAAAAAATATTCCGAAATAAAAAGGATCAATTAGATTAAAAAATAAATAAATAAATTCATAACCATCTTTTAATCCAATAACATTGAACAATTGAATGACAGAGAAAAAAGAAAGAGTAGGAATTCTAAATAGCTATGCTGCCTGCTAAATTTAAAGGAGCATAAGTCATATAGTTTGCATAACATCGCTTTTGTCAAGTCGTAAATCTTTTAATCCAATCTATTTGGACCTCAAAATAACAACTCTCAAGACTGATGAGTGGAAGTAGGGGTGGACAAAACTCGATCGAACTCGTCCAAATCGAACCAACCTAACCTGGTTGGGTCAGTTTTTTTGTTGTTTTTACACGGATTGAGTGGGTTAGCTGTGTAGGCGGATTGGGTTATGGGTTAACTCAAGAAAACCGAATAAATCCGCCCAACCCAACCCGCCACTTTAAAAATAAATAAATAAAAGAAATAAAATTCCTTGAAAAGTAAAAGAAACCTAAAAAGTATAAATAGATAGTGTAATTGTAATTATCTTGGTTTATTTTAGAGAATGAGCTTACTGTTCTTCCCACAAGAAATGTAGTATAAGTTTTTCATACTATGAGGGTGTTTGTTTTTTATTCTCAAATTTTATAGTAAATCAATTCTCATTTTCTACCACACATTCTTCAATAAAATAATATTTTCCATCACATCAATAATTTTTTCTTCTTTTTCAACCACACATTTCTCATCATATACTATTCAAAAATCAATTCTTCCCCCCAAAAATCCCTACCAAACAAGCACTATGTTAAATGCACTATGTTCTTTGTAGGATCGACTAATGAGGATTGAATTAGATAATTTTATTTATTTATTTATTTATTTACT